GGGGGGGGGGGAGGGATATAGACAGGGGATGAATTCTTTTGCCAGTATCCAGCATGGGATAGGACGGGGAGCCCCCTGCTGCTGCTGCTGCTGCAAGTTTGAATCGCCACTTAAGGTGGATTTACATGAACTCTTTGGACTTTTCTTTTTGGCCTATGGCATCGTCGCACGTAATGTTACGAGAAAGAAAATTTACCCCCACACGCGAATGTACACGGCGATCCGGTGAAATATTTTGGAGGTTTTGTACTTGGTGGAAAAAGAGTGCATCCGGGGGTGCATATACGCGAAGTGCATCCAGAATCGCGAGTAGAGGGTGTGGCGCCAATACAATGCCATGGAGATAATAACGATCATTAACGATGCAAAGCGGATGCATAGTTTAGTCCGTCGAGTTGCATTATTTGTTGCATATGCAGGCGTGCAACGACGCACCTGGGCGCATGCCGGAATAGCTGGATGCACGTTGCATACGTAATGTAGCTTGCACTTTTGTCAACCGATCTGACCAGCAAGATGCAGAGGTAAAAAGCGTATAGAGTGGTCGTTTGTCGTTATCTGTCCTGGCATGTAAATATATATATGTATATATGTATATTGCGATAGTTGCATCCTAAATGCAGTCTAACAAGAAGTGCATTTCATCTTACAGATACGCGCCGACGTCGCGTCCCTCGTACGGAATTTACTAGGACCGCTATATGGCGAGGCTGTACTCGATCTTCTCACCAGGCAGGCGCGCGATATCCTGGTGTGCGCCTACCACGGGAACCTGGAGAACTTCCTCAAGTCCTACCTGTCACCGGCGGCCGATCTTCTCGGCGAGCTCAAGAGAATCGCTATGGAAAACGTGAGTAATTTCACTTTCTAGTCTGGCGTTGTATATTAGTTATACATATATATATATATTGTTAGGTGATTTTTCGAGCCACGGTCACAAGGCGACTCCGGCTACCGATTCGGATAACGTTCTCCATTTCTGGTTCCCTTTGAGGTCGCCACATTCGTACAGTTGCGCCAAGGTTCCCGGAAAGATTTGTTATTGTTGAGGTAGAAGGTCCTCGAATCTGCCGCGGAGAGTCGCCCGGACTCCCAATTTATTAATTGGGTGGAGAGATTTCGATTTTATATCTCTGGACCTATTACGTTCTCGATCAATTGCTCCCGTACCCAAGAGTCGACCGGATCCATTGAGCTTGCCGTTTCCTCCGATAGGTTTCGTCCGAGCTCTCGTTTCGGCGGAGTCGAGACTGCTCCACCTGAACTACCAGGTCGTACCGGGTGGTCAGTTCTGGGTGAAAAAAAAAAAGAATTGGCTGGCGTCCGCCTGGCATGCGGATGCATGGACGAAGGGTGGACGGCCGAAGGTGACGTAGGTTAATTCGAGTTAACGAAATACGTAGCAATATATATATACCGTATGTCCCGTCCCAAGTAGGACGGCTGAAGTTGCCGCGATTTAAAGCGAGTTAAAACTTCTTACCATACGGAAGGATAATGCGTTCGGCAGATGCGATTATTAGTTACTCGTTTTCGATCGCGGCAACTTCGGGGCGTCCTACTTGGCACGTGACGTACGGTATATACAGGGTGCTCGTATATGTAGTAAAAACCTTAAGTTTCTGGTAGCAATGAATATAACAGCGAAATACGAGAAGCTAAGGGTGGCACCCATGAAATCGGTTTGCCAACCGTGAAACCGAAAAAGCACCGATCAGGGCGACACTCGTCCACCCTCCGACATCCGGAACGATATTAACACTCGAGAAGCCACGTGTCACGTGTCAGCCCTTCTTCAATGGAAACCGCGAGGGAGCAGAGAGAGTTAAGTTATGAGAGCGGACTTGAGTGCTAGAAGGGAGATTCATGCCACCCTTGCACCCTAACCCAGATACATTGTCCAAGGGTCGCCGAGACGTCCCATCGCCACCCGCGGTCTGGTTAATGCGGTTTTCAAAGCTGGCGACGGAATTAAATTCGCCCGACATGATTTCACGTGAAAACTTAAGAAAACGAATAATTTTCAGACTCACTGTACGTATGCGAGATTTCAACGTATGATTTACGAAAAATTCGTAAAACGTCTTATCCAAGGTCACGGGAAATTTCGTTAAGTCGCTGACATGGAAACGCCTCGCGGGCAGACGAGTCGTATCCTCAAGGCAGCCTTTAAGAGGCGCGCGGTCGCGATTATAAGAAGATTTGCGCCAAGATTTCTCTGACTTCGGATGCCATCGGGGTGGGGCGGTATAATGTAGCCGCGTAAAGAACATTAGAAACGCATCCGAAGCCCACGCCGAGTGAACTCTGACCTCGGACGTATTTGCGGCTAAGCTGCAATCATTATCGCAATGCACTTCTGTGATACTGCGGCATTGATTTTACCCGTTGACACAAATTTATATCTAGACGCAAACGAATGATACTTTTACCTGTCGCCGCTATTAAAATATTGTTAGAGAGTAGCGGAAGTGGCTCTGCCACGTAAAGATTGGGTACCCGCTAACTCATATGTGGAAAAGTAAGTCACACTATATATATATATACATATATAGTGCGACACGAGATACACGTTACAACGCATTGACAATTGGCGCGGCTGGACTAATAACGATAACAGGATTACACGCGCATGCGCAATGCAACAGCAATAATTTCACATGAGATAATGCTCCCCTGAATAGGGAATAGGGAATACAGAGTCGGCTGCGAAGCGAGAATAAGCAAGCGAGAGCGATAAACGTCGTCAGAGCGCCAACCAGGATCCACCTCTACCCTGGACCACAGACCTCTGAGAGGTCCTCGCGCCGCGGCGTTGTGTTTCATAATGTTTGCCTCTGCCCTCCTCTGGCGCCTTGGCAACGGCCACCGGTTTACAACGAGCGACCGCTTCTAACGTTTGCTGCCTTATAGAGAGAGGAGTCTCAAGTTTGCTTTGCTTTTACTTTGGCCTCGGCTCGGCCGGCTTCGGCTGAGCCTGACTGTTATTACGTTTTTCCTGGCCGGTCGTGTAGGCCTCCTGCCTTATCGGCAATTATTCCATTTGGATATCCGGTAAAAGCCAAAAGAATGCCCGCCGGCTTCCATTCTTCGGGACAAAGGTAGAGCGCAGGCCATTGTACGCGGAAACTTTATATGCTGATTTAGGTAGAAAAGTTTTTCGTACGCTTATCTCACGATTTATTTTTTTTTTTTTTAATTTATCATCCACCTCGTCCGTCTGCCGAGGAAACATCGTGGAACTCGGTTAGGGTCGGGGACCGTGCCATTGGGTATGTGCTGGCGCAGCTTGAACCTTAAGGCGAGTTTACAACGTGAGCCGAAGGTTGAGCGACAGCGGCGAGCTAGTGGTGTACCTAGCGGTATCCAGTCCGTTGAGAATTTTCTGTTGACACTGACGCCTCCTACCGCAGGAACGAAAAAAAGGGCCCTGGGAACGCACTTGTTCTATCGGTATACGCCCACGCGTACCGCTGGCTGTGACCAAATTCCAGAACGGGTTTGGACTTCATGGAAACGGCACCCTGGGCCCTTGAGATCGTCGCTGGGTTGGAGACTTCGATTTGGTAGCTCGGGCGGGTCGCGTCCTTTTTCTCTCCGGTTGACGTCCACGTTTTTTCTCTCTCTCGCACACCTTCTAGAACATTGACTCTCGTCGCAATGGCACTTGGCCAATGGATGGCGCTCCGATGGGTATCGGGCTTTACGGTACTGGATTAGAAATGCACTCTGGGACTGTGCCAAAGTGTAGTAGGTGTCTGACGTAGAGATAAGGACTGGCGACATCCGGGCGTCCACACGCTGACCAATAACGGTGCCGCGTCCGAACTGATTGACAATGATTGAAGGCTGCGTCGGAGACCCGGGGTCTCAACCTTAACGCGAACCTGCGTTCCAGTTCGTTCCAAAGCTGGCTAATAGGAGGAAGTCACATATTGGGTTGTCTGGTGACCTATTGCTGATAAACGTCTACGGGCCCATATTACATACAACGCATATACACCTGACCCCAACGCATCACTGATTTATGAATGGGGACCCAAGTTTTTTTTCTCACGTTCACAACGCTCCCCCTCTCCCCCGTTTTCGAGGCAATTCACGCATGAATCAGCCACGTTGCGTTCTGGCACCTTTTCGTACATGGACACTGGTCTGATCAGATTGCGTCATCCAGGTAGACTTTCGATTCGATGTAAACAGTGGTATTTTAGTTGAAATTTTTTTTTTTGTGTATTAGGTAAAAACTCGATATTCCCTGATACCTGATAAATACCTTTCTCCGATCGATTCAAACTCTTCCTGTACTACTCCATCTTGGTATTCGAATCAGCAAGAAACGTTACTGCGCTGTATATGTATATACAGTGTGTGTCTGTATATTTAAACCTCAAGGCGATAGCAGAGGGTACGACATAACCTATAAAATATGCTAGTCGATGTCTGATCGCGATAAGATAGGCGTTGCAGGTTGTCATCAGATAGGGATGCTGCTAGAGAAGGTAGGGAGACGGTTGGTAGCCGTGGTAGCATAGGTAGAGGGAATCCATGCGGCGTCCTGACGTCCGGCTTGTATCCGCCAGTCGGCAACCCCGGGAACACTCTATCGATTTCCATTCATCGGATCGCGCGTGTATCTCACCATGTGGGACGATGCTTTTCGCTGTATAGATATATAGAGACGGTGGTATCGGCAAACATATCCTTATTACCAGATACGTATAACGTGGATGCTGCGGGAACGGAGACACGCTTGAATTTTTCTACTAGGGAAGCAACGAGGCTCCAGCTTCTTGCTAGGGATTTCCGAGAAGAAGTGGTGCCCACTTAGGAGCTGCCGGGGGATAGTTAATAAATTAATACCATAAGAGAGCCCGTAGACCTTATCACCTTTTTAAGGAGGAGAGAAAAGAAGAAAAAATAATACGAGAGAAGATGCACTACTTAATAAGACCTGCGGATTACTTCAGGTAGCTTGTCTGGTTTAAATATATTACATATATATATGAATGTCGAAGAAATTTAATTGGGAGTCTCATCTTGCCTTTTACCCCCTGAGTCCATCTTCTTGTAGATGCAACAAGAGTAACGGGGCTCCTAAGTAGGCGGCTGGAGGCCGGTGGATTCGCACGTGAACGACCGGGTCTGTCCGGTAGTTCCGATATCCGGTGAATCCCGGGATACTTTGAATTCCTCGATATATTTCCCATCGGGTAGTCATTTAGCATCTGAACTTGTCGATTGTCATCGTTCGATCTTTCACTTTCACTTGCGAGATATCGTTTGTTATTTAATTAATTAATTGCAGTCGGTTCGATTAGGCGTACTGTATCGTTTATATGTATGTATACCAAAATAAACGTCCGAGCGAAGTTGCCGAGGACGCGCGCGCGTGCGCACCTTCACACTTTGCGGAAGCCCATTATAACCCACGGCAATATAATAAGCACCTCGCTTACATTCACGAAGAATTTTGCCGCCGCCATCTTGAGGCGGCATCTCGTCTCCTTCACACAGACTGCCTGCCCACTTCACTACCTGCTCATGTCCGCGGGATGCCTTAGGTATATATACCCTGTGTATTAAAAAGCCTCCCCGTGAAGTGCTCCGCTTGCTGCACTGACGACCGATGTATTAACCAACGGGACTCGACGTCTGTTCTAGGCGTCCGCTCGGCCGAGCTCTAGCCGATCCCTCCGCCATCTGTGGTTGTCCCCTGGGAACCTTCATGGTAATTTTCGTATTGGGATTTAAGAAGGCAAAGGAGACGCGCTTCTAGTATCGACGCGACGGGGGTTATCGAACCTGACTGTACCTCATATACGATTCTTCCTTAAGTAATTCCTATTAACT